TATTACTAGTGGAGTTTATCACCTCCATCAGGGCAAGGGTAAGAGCAGCACACAAGGCATCCAGCTGATTATAACCCAATGTCTACCTACCAGGAATATGAAAGGGAATGTTCCCACAGCTTACATATAACTGGAGCCAGATTTTTCTTTACAAGCAGAGATATTTGCCCAATGCAACAGTTTGCTTCTTAACTCTTAATTTGGTTTCCAAGGGTATGAGAAACTGGAGAGCCAAAAAGAGGGAAAAAAAAGGAAACAAAATCTCTTTCCTGTTCCTCTCTTTCCAAGGCAGTGTCATTGCTCACTTCCCTCCAAGGACAGTTAAAATGTGATAGGCACCATGCAAGCCAGCACTTCCAGCTCTTAGATGCCATCATCTGGGAGGAAACGCCACACTTTTCATTTACTGTAGAACAGGCCAAGTTTAAAGGTACACTCCTTCTGCAGAAGCATCCTCTGGAAATAAAGACTGTGGTCTCCAACCACACTATTGCCCTAGTTTATCTATTTGCAAAAGGTACAGACACACACAACCAATTTTTAAGTGTTATTGCCAAGAAGATGATTTATTCCAGTGGAAAGATACTTCAAGCTCCAGCAATCAGAGTCTGAAAACTGAAGGTGAAAACTCAGCTTAATAGAGCCAGCAGAAGTTTTTTTCCCCAGTGACTGATGAAGACAGATTTCCTCTGCAGCACAGAGGGAAGACACGTTATTTTTAAATGTTAAGTAATGCATGTGAAGCATCCAATGTGTTTAAAACTACATATTTCCCTATTACAATCATGACTTAATACTTATTCAGTGGAGATCTCTGGTTAAAATAAGTGCCAGGCACATGTTTTGTTGATCAGCTGGATTTGTTGACTATTACATCAAGTTTTACTTTCAAATACATTTGTGCAGTGTAATCCAATTAGGGTTTAAAGTTACACTGACACTGTAAAATTATATACTTAATAATACCAATAATAAATTATGTATTTGAACAGATTACAACCAGATCAGGCATTTCAAAGGCAGCTGATCACAGTATTTTATATGAACATGGGAGAACATAAACCACATACTTATTCCTTTTGTAGGCATCTTGGTCCCTCTGTAGTTTTTCAGCTTCACTGATATGCAACTCTGGTGTGGTAAGAGATCTGAAGCTATTCTTAGGCCGTGGCAGAAAGCACAAAGTGGTTTGTTGGCAGGTCTTATACTCTTCACTATAATGAGAGCAAGTCACTTCATTTATTTCCCTGTTAGATGAGATAAGAAGACCAAAAGCCAAGGCATAAATAAGTTCTTTGGACTGGGAACAAGAACAGAGAAGCAACCCGTTGTTGGGGAGGAGCCATCTCCCTGGCAGCAGTTCAGCCATCAGTTTACAGCATGTAGGGAGAAGAAAAAAAAAATGGATTACATGTGAAATCACATTTTTGCACCTCTGCTTTTGAATTCAGTTGTTGCCCTGCAGATAAACACAGAAACCTCTACAGACTAAACACAAGACCTGAGCAGGTTCACAAGGCTCCCACTCCTGGGCCTCAAAGGTAGAGGAACAGCAAGACGGAGACAATAGTACTAGACACTGGTCAGGGAGACAAAGGCAACTCCTTTTGTGTTAAAAGCTGTCAAGATGTGCTAGCACAGATGTTTCAATTTTTCATTTTTGTTCATTTGTAGACTTAATTTAACTTGGGAAAAAATGCTGAACTCCAAACCTAAACATTTCACTCTGGGCAAAATAATAGTTTTCATCTTAATGCAAATCAATTTCCCACTTTCTGCTTTTATGTCTCAGTAGCAAACTCAAGTACACAAGCTCCCAAGGCCACTTTAGCCAGGGTGCTCAGGGGAGGCAGAGATTCCTAACCACTGGATTTGCTGGAGGGAAAGGGGCACAACCCCACCAAAGAGGGCTAGGGCTGCTGGCCCAGCCTGGGGTCACAGTGCCATGCTCTCCTCCTTCTCTAAATTCAGCAACAGCCTCAAGCAGAAGGGACACTGGGCTCACATCACAGGTTTTGCCCCCTCTTCTTTCCAATGCCAAGAAAAAAAAAAAATTTAAAAAAAGCATCAATAAAAAGTAAGGCCTTTAGGTTTCAGCAAGAACGCAACACCATTGTCTAGTCCAGTGTGTATGGGTATTGGGGGAGAACAGGACTTCTTCCTGTTTTGTATATAAACAGACTGAGCTGCAGCTTCAGCCCTGACAGCTCAGGCTGCTACAGCCTGTGTAGCAGCACTGTGAAACACAGGATTCTCATTTTTAATTTTTTGCAAAAATAGGGGGTTTATGCCTGTCTAAAGTGTTGTTATTCCTTATGAACAAAGAAATAAGCAAATCTGTCTTCTAAAGAGCTTAAATCGAAATTATGCATATGTTTATGACCAAAAAATGCCCATGTTAAAGGAATGAGAGAAGAGAGGCACAGATAGAAAGGAAGGAACAGAGGTTTGAGAATCCTCCCATACCACAGCATAGATAAAACCGTCTCGTCACAGTACTCGTTTATATATTGGTCTGCTACATTAAAAATAAACCAGGCCACCTCTTTTTAACTCAAACCTAATAAGGTACACCATACATACGTTTATCTATAGGTCACAGCCTGGCCTTGGAAAATAGCACAGAGCTTCTCTGCAGCTTAAAAAACTGGGGCACCTAAATGCACACAGGGCCATGTCGCTACCTCAGTGTGCTGTAAGCCAAAGCTGTAAGCCAACCCTCATCTTTGCCGAACAGATTCACCCCACAACGTGACACCATGCCACGAAAACAGCAACGGGGCCACAGGCTGACAGGCAGCACCAAACACAGAGAAGGTGGCACCAGATCAAGCGGACATAAACTTGGACAGGCAGGCTAGCAACCAGTGTTTGCAAACACACAACACAGAGGATCCGATGGGCCGGCAGGCAATAAATTAGGACAGGACAGCAGAGAGCAAGATAAATCACTCAAAATAACAAAGGTAGGCAAAGAGGGCTCCCCAGCCACCCCGGTTTCATTTCAGTGCCTGAACCCAGGCGCATGCACACACCGGCTCCCGGGATGCTGAAGCACGATGGAAAAAACACTGTCAAGAGAAACTAAATAATGAGTGCTTCTAGCCCCACACCTATGGCTTGGAAACTTAGCTACAGCCTTCCTAAATGCCACTTTACCCTGTGCTCAACTCTATTTGACCCCAGTTTGAGCTCCACTTCAAAGCAGGGGGGAGGAGTTAAGGTGACAGGAGTAGCTCCTTACTGCACACTTCCCCAGGTAAGGTCTGCTCCAGCCCAGCTGATGATTACATCCAAAAGGCAGAGGATTTGTGTTTCCTCTGTCTTCTGGCACACTTCCAGATTTGCTGGCAGACCAGCTTGGGGAGGGGATTTCTGCTAAGCAGGTCTTTGAGGCAGATGCTAACATTTCTCAATGGTTGAAAACCTAAAACCAAGGACTCCTGCAAGCACTTGGGTTTAGCAGCACCCAGAGTTGGAAGGTGGGACAAGGGGCTGACCACAACCTGCCCACGGGGCCCAACAGCTCAATGCTGTCCAATTATGGCTGTGCAGCTTCATCTCAGCCAGGATCTTCCTTCCAGTACTGAAAAAGTACCAGTTTGAGACCTACAGAAGCTTCAGTGTTGTCAGTGAAATACAGGAGAAAACACCTTCGGCATACTGCTTTTCTAAGGATATGAAGGCTTACAGACTACAACCATGTATCTATTTGCAAAGGCTGTACAGCAGAATGACTACCACCTGAAATGCAGGACTCCAGTTGTAACCTCATTCTGCCAGGTACCTCATCTCCCTCTTTTACAGATGAAGGACACCATCGTGACCGAAAAGACAATAAAAACATACAGGGAACCTGTAGTGTCAAAGCAAGCCCAGTACGACCATACACTTGCTGGGAGCAAGGAGACAATTCTTAAGCTTCCACAAGATACACCCACAGAGAAGTATCTTGCAGGACCCTTAGCTCCTACAAACTTATGAAACCCAACAGAGTAAAAGGGATAAACCAGCAGCCCAATCTGTTCTCCAGACACATTGTACAGGTTGGAAGTAGCAGGCTGCACAAAAAAAAGTAAGTGAATTAAATACATACAATATGAGACCAAATCCTTCCATAGTTTCCCAGTGCCACAGCCAGCCTCTGCCAACCGTGCCTCCGAATGGCAAAAATACCCAGGGGAAAGGAAATTCAATCTAGAGGGCAGCATTGTTATAAATAGGTTCTACAGAATAAAGTAAAGAAAGAGAAGTGCCCATGGATGCTGCCTTAGTTGGTGGGACTCATTTCCACCAAAGCATTAAGGAATAAACCATATACCACATTAAAACAGGAACCTTTGCAGGAAAGCCATATACATATATAAGCCCATACACATGTAAACACAACATTTTCAGATCGCTTTTCAAAAGTAGTATCACCCTCTGTCCGTTATTCTGACCCTATACCATCAAAACAAGGCTTGACTTCTCCTCTAGTTTTGCTGACTAGTCCATGATGCAATGCCTCAGACCAAGTGACCTTGCTTCTTCTTTCCTCCTCCCTCTTTCTTCTCTCCCACTGCCCATCTCCAGCACCCATGAGTTCAGTTTTATACAGGCTAAAATAAGGCTGCTAAGTAAAGGTCAGCCTGACGACCTGAAAGAGAAGTATCCCCTCCTAGACCTCTTCTCCTTGGGCTATAAATATTCAGAACAAGCACTGGTGGAAATTCTTTGTCTGCACAGGCAGACACCGGGAAGCACGTTTCCTCCTCCTTCCAGTTCCCACCCCTTCTGCTGCTCAAGGACAAAAATCTCCCTGGAAAAGCAAGCATCTCCCTGCTACCGGTTCCATCATTTGTACAGGGAAAGCATTTGCTCTGCCACCGGTGACTTGAGGCACAGGCCTTCCTAGAGACAAACCAATGCTTTCAAGGTTCAACCATCAGGAGGGTTGACAGCAGAGTGCACACACTGCAAAGCAAACGATGAGACTTCGTGTGGGCAGCAAGTCCTACCTTTCAGGACTAGGGGCTCCTTGCCTTCTCGCTTGAGTGACTCCAGCACTATGTGGAGTGGCTGGGAAGGCATTACTCTGCTTGGCTCATTGGTATTCTCATCATAAACTACGATTTCTTTGGAAAAGATTCTTTTGAAGGAGTCCTTGCCTTCCCGACAGGAGATCAAGTCCAAGACAGTGATCTTGCCCTGCTGGAGCCTTCTCCGGCTGATCTTGTCAGAACAGTTGATGTGGACAGCCCCTTGAATGTGACTCTTATTATACTCCATGAAGGGCCTGCAGTCAATGATGACAGGCCCTTGGTTCTGTTGGTGGCTCTTGCTGCATTTGGTCATCTTCTTCGCCAGATCATTGGGGTAAATGATTTTGATGCTAGCAAGTTGCCTGGTGGTGCCCGAGACAGGGCTCCCCACTCCACCCAGTGGGCTCAGGCTGCCGGCGTTCTCATTGCTGTTGACCATTTGGGTGGTAGGGCAGGTGGTGGAGGCTCCGGCGTGGGTGCTGCTGGTGCTCGCTTGAGTTTGGGCCTGAGTGTCCTTGTCGTATGTTGCCACAGTGCAGCAACTGGCACTGCTGCATCCACAACTCAGGGAGCGTGCAGAGCCGTTAGATGAGGGCATATACGTGAGATTAGCAGTCTTTAGGGACACAACAGCTGCACTGAGCAGACTGGAGTGGCTCTCACCAGCAGAAGAGGCAGATTCAAGACAGCTAGAGTCTAAACAGAGGTTGAGATCCTGAGGTCTCACTGGCCTTGAAAGTGCCACTACTACCCTGTCGTCTAAAGGAGACGGAGGCATGAGGAGGCTGAGAACTAGCAAGTTAAGAAGAACACAAGACCATCCTGCAAAAGAAGAAAGGGAAGGAGAATGGGAAAAAGAAAAAATTATTAAAACAGATCATGATATCACACAAACCTACAGATACACCTTACCCTGCCAACACCCATTATCCCCAAGCTAACAATCCCCTCTGACACATCACAGTAGTTGCTAAAAAGCCTTTTCAATCCTGCAGCAAATACTTCAGCTATCTGCATGTGTGCACATGGCACGCAGAATACATGCGACTAGCCTGGACAGTGCAGCTACACCCAGGAGGCAGCATTTGGCTACATGCAGATGGTACTGAGCTATTCTGAAACCCCAGGCTGCAAAGCATGCCACTGACAATGACACAGGCACATTCTCCCCTCCTGTTGCTTACTGCAACTACTGGGTTGACTTTACTACTGGGAGGAACACATAAGAACTGAAGAGCTGAATGTGTCAGTGTTGATATGCAACTTTTCCAGCAAGCTGGAATAAAATTAGATTGTAAATAAATTTTTGAGACAGTTACAAACTTGAACACATAAGACTAAACAAAAAATACTCAGTAGTAAATGAGAAAATTCTGTTTCAGGGATTTTCATAAAAAGTAAGCATGCACTTCGCACTTCATCTCCCTGTTAGAGAGGTAAATCCAGCCCCAGTCAAGCCCGGAGCCCCAAGATCGCAAAAGCTACTGTTCTCGAGCAGTCCCTGAGATAAGTTACCTGCTCCTCAGCACACTTCACAGCTTTTACAAAGGGGGGTAGCCTCCGCCCCAGCCACGGTCACTGCCTGCTCAACTTTTACCATCCCTGTTAAAACGCAGCACGCAGGCTTAGAATCTCCTCGCTGCCACTGGGGAGGGAAGTTAGACGACAAGAGCAAAACAACC